TGGCCAAGGTTGCGGCTGATCTCGGGGGCCGAGGTTTCGGTCGACAGCTCAAGGTCTCTCTGCAAACAGGTGCCCGCTGGTTTCCCTTGCGCGGGCTGGCCTCAAATCTCAACGATGGTTGGACAGCAAACAGGAACGAGACCGAGTATTCGCAAGGGGAACCAGGGGTGCATCCACAGCTTTGAAGCCCTGGTAAGCTTGCTCCTTCCCCCGCTCAAGATCCCAGTTCGGCGAAGCTCTCATCCACATGACCCCCGTGAGTCTGCTTCCTGCTCCGTGGTTCCAGAGCTCGGAGGAATGGGACCGGGAAGCAGACGAGACGGGAGGAACCAGCAGTCCCCTTTGTCGAGCTTTGGCGGTGCAACTAATTGCCGCGTTTGGCCTCACCGCTCAGAGTCATTTGAGGTCCGCGCAAGGCTCCGCCTCGTCCTCCTCCTCCTTCTCCCCTTCGCTCCTCCTCCTCCTCCTCCTCCTCCTCCTCGTTCTCCTCCTCCTCCTCCTCCTCCTCGTTCTCCTCCTCCTCCTCCTCCTCCTCCTCCTCCTCCTCCTCCTCCTCCTCCTCCTCCTCCCCCTCCCCCTCCTCCTCCACTTCACTCCTCCTTCTGCCTCCTCGGACTTCCCAGGGCGCCCTAGAAGCACCCAGAATCGCGCCACCCCCCTCAAAAGACCCCCTTGAAGCTGTCCACTACCCTTACGTCGGGCCTGTCCCTCAACAGGGGGAATATTCAAAAAATGTCAAAACATAGTTTGGGAACTACTTTTTGAGTATTTGTTGAACATTTTGTTGTATTTTTGGGGTATTCTTCATTTTTCGGTGAAAATCCCCCTGTAGGGGGACACGCCCGACATGACGCGCGTGCTCCTTGAGCGACTGCCTGCCGCCATGCGCGTCACTGCGCGCCTGCTTTCCAGCGCCAGCAGCCACACACACACACAAGCGGCGCGGATCGGTGCCAAACCAAACCCTATGAATAAGCTAGATGGTAAGAAAATACTGTTCACAAATGTCGAAGGTATTTAAAACTTTTTGGGCCAGGTTAATGTCAATCGCCCCTCCCGTCTCGTCGGCGGCCAGTCTCGCCGACGGGCGGCCTCGCCGACGGGTGGCTCGCCGCGGGCGGGGCCCTCACGGGCGGGTCGGGCGGGCGGGGCCACAGTGGGCGGGGTCGGGCGGGCGTGGCGCTGACGCGGGCGGGCGGGCCTGGCAGTGCGCGAACGGGCGGGGCCCTCACGGGCGGGTCGGGCCGTCGGGCGGGCGGGCGCGCGGGACCTTGACGGGCGAGTCGGCGAAACCGGCCGCCTAGAACGAGGGTCGGCGAAGCCAGCCGCGGACGAAGCTTGGGCGAGACCAGCAGGGTGAAACCAGCCGTCGGCAAAACCAGCCGTCCCCACAGAATCATCGTGATGAGGAGCATCACGCGCTGCTTATGGCCACTGGCATGAGTCATGAGAAGAAAGCTCGGTTTTCGACGATTTTCACCGCGAGGGTCTGTGATGTGGCTGGGCCAGCAAGCACCATGATCGGGACGATCAACATGGGTGTCCGCGCCGCCGCGGACGGTATTCCCTGGAGACAGAAAGCCGCCTGCCCAACAGCGGCCGCTGTCGGTCTTGGACAACATTCGTTGTTGGGCATTGTGCCCATTTTGTCCGTACCCATTTCGGGCGTCCAAACATGAGCGTGGCTCCTTTTTGGCTGCACCCCCTGAACATCTCTCAAAGGCTCCCTCTTCATCCTCGTCATTGTCGTTGCCCGTCCCATACTCCTGCCCCCCTCTCCTCCTCCGTCCCCCCTGGAAGCCCTGGCGCGCAGACCTCTTCGAGGAGGACGAGGAGGACGAGGCGGAGGAACAGGAGCTGCAGGGAGGAGGAGGAGGAGGAGGAGGAGGAGGAGGAGGAGCAGGAGGAGGAGGACAAGGAGGAGGAGGAGGAGGAGGAGGAGGAGGAGGAGGAGAGAAGGAGGAGGAGGAGGAGGAGGAGGAGGAGGAGAAGGAGGACGAGGAGGAGGAGGAGGAGGAGGAGGAGCAGGAAGAGGAGGAGGAGGAGGAGGACCAGCACAAGGGACAGGAGGAGGAGGAGGCAGCGTCGCCAGAGCAGCAGGGAGCGAGCCCCGCGGGAGTCGGGCCAAAGCCGCCATGGGCGCACGTTCTGCGGTGAGTTTGGCCTCCAGCCCCTGTCCCCCCCGTCGTCCCGGTTCTCCTGCTCATCCTCCTCCTGATCGCTCGTCGTCTTCTCCCCCTCCCCCTGCTCCACCTTCGGTCGCCCGCCTTCCATTCCTTTCCCTGTGTGCGTTCGCATCGCCCTCCTCCTCTCCCATCTGCTCTTCGTCGTCGTCGTCTTCCTCCTCCTGCTCCTCTTCCTCCTCTCATCTTCCTCCTGCTCCTCTCCTTTCTCCTTCTCCACGTTCTGCCGTCCGCCAGTTATCCTTCTGCTGTCCGCAGAATACCCTCTTGCTAGTCCTCCGATTCCCCATGTCCTCATCCTCACCCCCTCTCCTCCTCCCCTTCTGTTCCTTCCCCATCATCCTTCTCGCTCCTTCCTCATTGATCGTCCCTCTCCCCTCCCTCTTTCCCGCCCTACCCTCTGCATCCTCTCCTTTCTCCTCCTCAGGTGAGGGTGGGCTGTTTGTGAGAGGTGGGGATGGAGGAGAGCGTGCAGCGTCTCAGAGAGAGAGAGAGAGAACAAACAAAAAGGGAGAGAAAAGGAAAGAGAGAGAGAGAGAGAGAGCGAGAGAGCGAGAGAGAGAGAGAGAGAGAGACAGACAACAACAAAGAGACAGAGAGGGAGGGAGAGGGGCATGGGCACCGACGTGCGTCGCAGAGTGTCGTGGGAAGCCCTTACGTAGACTCACGCCTATGACCTGTGTTCCTGCTCCCACTGCTGCTCCTGCTGCGGACCCTCATGCTTTCATACTCTCCGCTATTGTCCTCCTCCTCCTCCTCCTCCTCCTCCTCCCATTTCCTCATGCCCATCTTCGTCGCCGTCCTCCTCCTCCTCCTCCTCCTCCTCCTCCTCCCACTTTCTCATCCCCATCTTCGTCGCCGTCCTCCTCCTCCTCCTCCTCCTCCTCAATTTGTGGTGTTTTCCTACTTCTCCGTCTCCTTCTCCTCCAAGTCCTGGCCCTCCCCGTCTTTCATTCCTTATCCTCCGCTTCCTTTCTCCCTGCCCTTCTCTCAGCGCCCCCCGCCCTCACCCTGCCCCCTCCCGGCGCCCTCTCAGGGGCAGTGGCGGAGGCGCCTGGAAACCGCCGTGGAGGCTCATTCGGAGGAGGCGGAGGAGGATGCGGTGGCGAAGGTGGAGGCGGTGGCGTAGGAGGAGGAGGAGGAGGAGGAGGAGGAGGAGGAGGAGGAGGGTGAGGAGAAGGAGGAGCAGGAGGATGAGGAGGAGGGAGGCGGATGAAGACGAGGAGGACGATGGGAGGCAGGGGGAGGGGGACGGGGAGGCATTCGACGACTAACTGGGAGCGTCGCCATCGTCACCGTGGTGGTGTCGTCGTCAGGAGAGAAGGGTCAGCGGCGGAGGAGGCTGAGGCGGCGAAGGAGGCGCGGAGAAGGAGGTGGCGGCGGAGGCTTATTAGCCGGCTCGTGGCCCGCACCATCCAGCTTCGGGATTTTCAGAGGTGCTCTGGTCTACCGCCCATCAACCGCGACAGAGGCTTAACTGCTTGGAGCCGTGAAGTTCCCCTTCCGCGGAACTGTTCTTACCCGCCTCCTCTGCCAGCGCTGGCCTGCACAGCGTAGCCCGCGCCCGCGTGGCGATGCGCAGCCGCTGCTCCCTTCGAGTTATCGGGACGACGGTTTTACCCCTCGAGCCTGCAGTTGCGACGCTTGGACCTGACGTGGGTTGGCCATCTGTGAGCTCTTGGTGCGCATTCGATGCCCGGTCGAGCCTGTAACAAAATCACTGTCAGTCGCGGAACCGCCATCCGTCCTTGTAAATGTTGCAAGCGGCGCTAAGGCGAGTGCTCCATTTTCAAGACGACACCCCTCCATCCATGTAGCGCATGCGAGCTTGTATGACGAATGTGCGCGGCGCTGAGGGGAGAGTCCCATTTTGAAGACCACCACCCATCCATCCCTTTACAGTGGAAACCCATGCTAAGAAACACCCTGCTTGACTCCAGGGTGCCCTGGGTTCCTTGGGTTCCGATAGTTTTGCTATGCAAAAGCATGACGTTCCCACACCAAGAATCAATGGACGTCAAGTGGTCTCAGGGCTTGTTTTTTGTGGAAGTTCTCTTGTGGTCGAGCTCCTACTGTAGCTGCTGCACGTGTCAAGCTTCGGCATCACACATGCTGATGAAGTCTCAGGCGACTCGCCCGGCCCTCCCTGCCGACATGTCCAGGTGCGCTTCAGGGAGGAGTTAGAGAAGGATGAGGACGATAATGAGCTATATGCCAGGGCAGATGTGCCGACTTTGGAAGCAAACCGCGGGTCAGGGGTATCCAATGTGCTCCTGAGGAACCTCATGACGTGAGCCAACATCTTAAACTAGCAAGCCGTGGATCAGCGATACCAACTGGGTCCCTTGGGAACCTCGAATTTTAGCCAACATCGGTACGGATGGGGATGAAGAAGAGGAGGACGAGGAGAACGAGGAGGAGGAGGAGGTGGAGGAGGAAGAGGACCAGGTAGACGAGACGGAGGAGCAGGATGTTGAGGAAGAGGAGGAGGAGGAGAAGCAGAAGGAACAGGAGGACGAGGACGAGGCGGACCAGAGTAAAACAGAGTAAACGTAGAGGTTGAGAATGCGGAGGAGGAGGTGGAGCAGGAGGAAGAGGTAGAGGAGGAGGAGGAGGAGGAGGAGGAGGAGGAGGAGGAGGAGGAGAGGAGGGGAGGGAGAGGAGGAGGAGGGGAGAGGAGGAAGAGAAGAGAGGAGGAGGAGGAGGTAGAGGAGGAGCGGAGGGGGGGAGGGAGAGGAAGAGGCGGAAGGCGAGGGAGGAGGAGGACAGGAGGAGGAGGAGGAGGAGGCCGGTGGAAGAGCGCCGCCGTCCTGTCAGGCCGAAGAGCGAGGGCCGCGACCGAGGCCGCGCGAGGCGCCGCGGGCCTCGCCTGCCTCAGGGCTGCAGGGGGGTGGGGGTAGGGGGGGCGGATGGCGGAGCGGAGGCGTTGACGCCGCTTGTTCCCCCCCCCCCAAGGGGCGGCAGCGACGAGGGAAGGAGAGGAAGGAGAGGGAGGAGAAGGAGGAGGAGGAGGAGGAGGAGGAGGAGAAGGGGGAGGAGGAGTGGGAGGAGGAGGAGGAGGAGGAGGAGGAGGAAGAGGAGGAGGAGGAGAAGAAGAAGAAGAGGAGTGGGAGGAGGAGGACGAGGAGGAGGATGACGAGGACGAGGAGGAAGAGGAGGAGGAGGAGGAGGAGGAGGAGGTGGAGGAGGAGGAGGGAGAATGGGAGGAGGAGGAGGAGGAGGAGGAGGAGGAGGCGGAGGAGGAGGAGGAGGAGGAGGAGGAGAGGAGTGGGAGGGGAGGGGGGAGAGGTCCTTGCGCCTCCCGCCTCGGCGAGCGTGGACCCCCACGCGCAGCTGCCCGCTCACCGTGCCGCGCCGCCGCCACATGCCCCCGCTCCTCGAGGTTATGATCTGTTCTTATCATTGTTTTTTGTTGCTTAGCTTTATTGTTTTTTCTCTCTCTCTCTCTCTCTCTCCCCTACTTCTGCGTCTGCTGTTTACCGTCTCTCAGTTCTACCTCTATTCAGCCGGCGACGATCTTCGCCAGGCTCATTTATAGTAGCTTGAGCAGCCCCCGTGGACCGACCGGCCATGGGGAGGGGGGAGAGGGCAGCACCCGCAGGGATCTCATTGAGTCAGCGCCTCCGTGCCTCAGGAGGAGGGGGAGGAGCAGGACGATGAGAAGGAGGAGCGGGAGGAGGAGGAGGACAGCAGGGCGAGCCACCTCCTCCTCGTCCTCGTCCTCGTCCTCGTCCTCCTCCTCCTCCTCCTCCTCCTCCTCCTCCTCCTCCTCCTCCTCCTCCCCCTCCTCTCCCCCTCTTCTCCGCCTGCTCCGCGTTCGCCCTCACCTCCGCGGTCGCCGCCCCCCCCCCTTCCCCCTTCTTCGGCTGGCCAGTGGGCCCTGGCAAAGGGGGGACTCACTCGTGGGGGGAAGCGTGGAGCTCCTGCCAATCGCCCACTCATCGTCGATCGGGCCCCGGGTCCTGCCCAGGAGCGTGGGGAGCTGCCGTCGGGGGTCCGGTCGCCGACCTGTCGGCGATGTGCCGTCGATTCTGGCGTGGTATTCCCGCCGGCGTGGTGTCCCGCTCCCCTCAAACCGAGGGCAGAGGCGAAGGCATCCGCGGTGGAGGTGAGGGGAGCGAGGGAAGGAGGTGGAGGCAGAAGACAGGAGGGGGAGGGGGAGGATGCGGAAACGGAACAGGGAGGGTCGTCGTCGTCGTCGTCGCTTCGTCGCCGTCGCTTCATCGCTTCGTCGCTTCGGTCGTCGACACCATCATCGTCACTGCGTTGGAGATGTTTGCGCGTTTCTGGAGGGTCTCGCCGCCGGGGCTGAACCTAGCACGCCGCCATGGCTGGGGGCTTGGCTTAGAGTGCAGCCCAGAACAGACACCAGGAGGGTTCCATTTTGAGCGTAGTTGGTTGTGGGGGCGGCTGGGGGGCAGGGAACAAAGATCACTGTGTTGATTTCTTTGCTTGTTTTGTCACCCCGCTTCGATTTGGCTTTTTCTGGGCCTCTGGAGACCCTCCAGAAAAACTTGGAGCGTATTTCTTTATTGCTTGTGGCATAGTGGGCATTATAGCCCCCTCCACCCCCTCCCCCCCCTATAACGTAACGCCCCTCCCCCCCCAGTGCGCTCCGGGCACTACCGCCGTGCGCATCGGGCACACGGCGGGGGGGAGGCGTTACGAGGAGCGAAAGAAGGACGTACACGTACATGAATCCACGCTGGTTTCGAGAGTACGCATTGCCCGAATGCTCGTGTCACGCGGCCAGTCTCGCGGATCGACGGGCCGTGTTCATGTACATAGCTGGTCGCGTACGTCCTTGTGGGTTCCCTCATTACCTCCGGAAATACAGAAACGCGCTCTTGGATGCCTCCAGTGCAGTGACCTCCAGGGACTCCCTGGTATCACCGGAGGCCTCGAGGGGCGGCGAGGGGAGGAGGGGGAGAGGAGGGCGCGGACGAGGCAGGCAAACCAGGCGAGTCCGCGCCACATCTGACCTACCCTTGGGTCGGGCCTGTCCCTCTGACAGGAGGAATTCTCAAAATAGTAAAACAGATAGTCTTGGGACTATCTTTCGAGCAGTTGTTTGTTTATCCGTAAGGGCTTCGCCCCCTGCCGCCGGCCCCCTCTCTTGGATAATGGGCAATGCAAGCGCGAAATCATGTGGCCTTGGCGCCGCCGTGAAGCAACGTCGGGACTTCACGCGAAGACGATGAGTAATCGGCACGACAAATTGAGATTCTGCTGATCTTGTTGAATTCGGTGTTGTATTTCGAGCTTACTCGCGTATGCTGTGCAAAAAGTTCTTTCACGCAGTATTGAAATGTGGCAAATCCCATGTGTTTCTCGACCCTGACCCCGCCGATCTGCATGAGGAGTGCCACCGAATTTCAGAAATGGGGCAAATCCCTTGTGTTTATGAACCCTGATCCCGCCGATCTGCATGAGGAGTGCCAACGAATATCATACATGTGGCAAATCCCTTGAGTTTTTGGACCCCGACCCCGCCGATCTGCGTGAGGGGGGCCACCGAATTTTTAGACATGTGGCACATCCCATTGGTTTTCCGATCCTGACCCCGCCGATCTGCGTGAGGGGTGCCGCCGAATTTCAGAAATATGGCAAATCCCATGGGTTGTTCGACCCTGACCCCGGAAATCTGGAGAGGGGTGCCACCGAATTTTAGACATGTGGCAAATCCCATTGGTTTTTCTACCCTCACTCCGGAAATCTGCGTGAAGGTGCCACCGAATCTCAGACATGTGGCAAATCCTATGTGTTTTTGGACCCTGACCCCGCCGATCTGTGTGAGGGGTGTCAATTTCGACCCCCCCAGAAATTTTGAGACCCCTCCCAGGAGGTGCTAACTTGGGCAGTTTTCGGCTCCCCCCCCTCGCGCGGTCTTCAACAAGGAACAGTAAGCAACAATAAGCAGAACTGTAACAGCGGAAACTGGAAACTGGAACTGGTGCACGGAACAGCAAACCCTGAGCCTACAGCCTGGTGGCCCCACAAGTGGGCCAGCGGATTTGGGGGTGCGTTTTGAATCTTTCAATGTTTTGCCCATAATCCATCCGCCTGTAGGGGGACATGGCCGACGTAAAACTAGGTGAGCCCGCGCCACATTTGACCTACCCCTCCAACCTATCCTTGCCCATTGCGCTGGATTCTTCTCTGTCCGCTGGGTGGGGTGTTGTAGATCAGGCGATCGCAAACATGGATCAAGGAGGCGTGGATTAGCGACGTGTCCCGTTTCCATGGGAAATCCCGGATTTCCGCCGCTGGACGAGGCGGCTTTGGCCCGCGCGCCAAATCCATGGATCGCTAATCCATGTTTGCACGCCCCCGACTTGCACTGGATTCTTCTCTGTCCGCTGGGTGGGGTGTCGTAGAGGTCCTGGGCCCCAGATGTTAACTGCAGGCTATGGCCCATCGATTGCTGCGCAATCGGAACGGCGGACTTCTTACAGTGACGAGGGAGGAAGCGGGGACAGGAGCAGCAGAAGCCGGAGGACAAGGGGAACGCGGAAGGGGGGAAAGGAGGGTGTGCGCTTCAAGCGTGCCATTTCTTTCACCCATCTTCGGTTAGACGGGCAATCCGCTCACAGAACGACCGCAATGTCGGACATGTGGTTCTCGATGGACCCGACGCCCCAGGAACTGACCGCCTTCTCGTCGGTCCTCGACGGGTGGACGGGGCTCACTGGCCCTGTGCCTACCTCATCCTTCGGGTGCCTGGGCCTGGAGACCAGGATGCCCATCCACAACGTGGGGGCACTCGCGGCGCCAGAGTTCTCCGACGCACTCGTTGAGTGGAAGATCCCGAGCGTGCACGCAGATACTTTTGGGTCTTCGGGCGGGCTTGCCACGTGCGCATCGGCATGGAGCGGGCGCTTTCGGAGTCGGCGGCGACGGCCGAGCAGCGTGCGCCGCTGCCCCCAGGCAGCCAGACTTTCCGAGTACTCGCTGATTCAGACTGTGGCGAAAGGGGTGGTGGCGGCGAGTCGAGGCCGAGTTTGCGGACCAGTCTACATTGCCACCTAATGGGAAGAAAGCCAAGCCCGAGTGCGCGCTGAGCCCAGAATAGGCAACCGCCACGTTCCACCTGTTGTGGCTGGGCCGGGTGTGCGTGGACTTCTGCGTGTTCGGGCTGCACCGGGGTCGCACCGATGTCCGGATGACGGCGCGGGTCCTCGCTTTGGGAGCCGACGGCGCCATCATCCAGTCACAGATTAAAGGTCCGCCCTCGTTTTCAGATTGTAAGGGCTGTTTGGCTGTCTTCGAGACCGGCGCCCTGGATTTTAATGCTCTCGAGTTTGCGACTTTTGTTCGAGTGCCACTCGAGGATCAGGCGGCATCACGACGGGTAAGTCACGTCCTTCCTGGAGTTGTGGCATGTCCTGCGTAAGTGCGACCCGCGGTGCCAACGGGAGCGCATCCCCCAACTCCACGATGAGGCTGAGGACCAGCTGAAGGACATCCGGAAGCGGCCCGCCATGTGGGCGCGCCAGTACCGCTCGCAGGCGCTGGCGCTGAGCCGATGGGCAGCCAGTTGGTCGACGCGGGCGTCTCCGGGGTCATCGAGCGCACCCGAGGGCAATCGCGATCCCGGGATGCGATCCTGGCCGTCTCTGGGAGCACTGCTTCCAGAAGGCCGCAGACGACGACCAGTGGTGGAACCGCACCTTTGTTCGACGACCCGAAATCCTTCACATCAGTAATTTTGGGTCTCGGAGCCCACAGGGCGGTTTTTCATGTTTTCCATTCGACGTTCCATGAAGCCCGATGTCATTCCGAGGCGCGCGTCGAACGTTTTCGATGGCGCGTCGCGTTATGCGACGTCACATGCGTTGTGGTCGTCAAAGGCT